AAAAAAAAAAAAAAAAAAGGAAGTTTATGCTTGCCAGGCGCCATCCTGGCCAACATAGTAAGACCTTGTCTCAATTAATCAATCAATATAAAAATGAGGCTTCTGTCTTCCATATGGCTTGGTATTAATGAAAATGGATTATCACTTCTTCGAAAGAAACAGCCTATGAAAATAAAAATCAGTTCTGTATTTCTATACAATTAAGCCATAAGCAGTATCTACTAATCTCAGCTGTTTTATGTACCTAGAATAGTCTACCAATTTGATGGAAAGTGATGGGTTTTCTCTTCCATTCTCAGCCAGTCTGCCATAAGTCTGCCTTTCCTGCCTCACACAAATCTCGACATGGTGATTTATGTTCCTGAACAAATTAGACTTAATTTAAGAGCAAATCATCAGCAACAGGTATAATAATCTTGGCAGAACATTTATTTTAATTAATTGCTTTCTGTCTAACATAGATAGAAGGGTGCTGATGCCATTTGGCCTATAAAGATTAGTGCTGTCATGTAATTTTTTTCTCTTCTCCTAGAACTTAGTCTCATCAGTTTTAAGTTACAAAGGCATTGGTGTACTTCATATTCAATCATAACAACCTAACATCTATGGAAATGTTTATATAAGCTACTTCTGAAAGAAAAATGGATTCTAACTATCCTGCACCATGAGAGTCCTGCTCCTATACGTAGGCCCTGCCAGAGTCCGTGGGGGTCACGGTGGGAACTGTTGTGGGGCTAGGCAGCTGAAAAACCCTCTTCCCATAAATCTGGCAGAGTTGGGATTGGGGACACTTGGGTGATTGTAGAACAAGGTCAACTTTCTTCCCTATGAAGTTGAGTATCACTATTATTTGTACTGGAGTGAGACAAAAACATATTTCCTCTGGTATATGGAGTTTGGACATGTGATTGTGAAAACCACCTTATGACAGTAAGTGGTAGAAAACACTAGACTGCTTCTTCTCATACCTGTCAAACTCAGTGTCACTTAGAAATGATCTCATGATGTTTCCAAAGAAGCAGCAGAAACGGCCAATAGTAAACCTGAGGAGGGTTCCTAGGGGAAGGGCTGCATTGCTCATAAAATGATTTTGCCACATAAACAGGAAATTTAAATTCTGTCTTTTGGAAATCAAATGGTAATCTTAAACTTTTACCTTAAAAACTCTTTCATATTCTAACCAATTAGTTATCTTTTTATTGCTTTTAAAAATAATTTTTCCCAGTTTTTATTTTTTATTAAAAATTTCAGCCTAAATTTAGTAACAAGAATTGGTAATTAAAATGCCTCCCTTATATTGGTACCAAATCTCAGGAGGCAGTGAGAATAAACAAATGTAAAAAATAGCAGGAATCATTTTGCATAATAAAATTGCCAATTCTGATGAAATGAAAGCCCGTTAAGTTTTTACAGTATAGATTTAGTATTGAAATGACACACATTTGTAATCATTAATTTTATTTGTGACTCTTTATAGACATTGGTCCACTTCCACGAGAAAAGTACAAATCATCCACTTCCACCTAATATTTTACAGAATAAAGTTGTACCACAGACCACAGTAACTTCACAGGGGGAAAAGTTACTGAAGTAAAAATATTTTAGATTCATGCCTTGAGATGTCCCCCTAAGACTTGTTTTTCATATCTAATTACGAGCATCTACATGCCATGGAGTCAGTCTCTTCTTAGAATCACTGTAGCATTTTTAATGTCCGTACTAGACACACGAATCACCAAACTTGAAGCAGAAGTTAAAAATAGCCACACTGTCAATCAGACACAGTTCAAAACTAAGTGACTGTTTAAGCACATCTAGTATTTTAGGGCTGCACTAAGAAAATGTCTCTCATTTCAGAGATATTTACATAATTAATACATTTACAAATAATTCATAGTATGTAACAGCCCAAATAGGATTTTCATTTGTTCTATACAAGCAAGCATTTGTAAGTTTCTCTAATAAGTTCAGTGCATTTTTTCCAACATAGATAACACACGCTACTCTGTTTTACATTTCTTTCAGTGCATCTTTCCAAATTTACTAAATGGAATGAAATCATGTTATTAAATAGCTATATCATAATACTCAAGCATATTATGAGTCTATATCACATATTTTGATTCATATCAATACTCTAAAAAAATCACAAGTACACACAAAATACAGAACAAAAGTTGCTGTTTTTTTTTTAAAGTGTACTATTTTATACTTGATCTTAGCCAAAAGGCCGAGAAGCGATAAAAGTGTACTATTTTAAACTACACTAAAAGGTATATTTTAATAACAGTTCATGTCCAAACCCCTTGTCTAAGTCTGGCATGAGGAAAGCTCAGTCCATGCGAATCTTCTGGTTTGTCATCCTGTAAATGATGCTATCGTAGCCAGGATCCATATTCCAAATGTTGTAAGAGGTGATAATCACAGCCAAGGCCAATGCAATCATTATCCAAAGTATCATGTTGAAAACCACTGCGTACTCAAAATTATACTTGTATGCAAGGTTAAAGGGACTTGCAGTGTTCTACAAGATAGAAGAGAAGGAAAAAGTAAACCTAGAGGGAAGAATTTTAAGATAAAAATTTATCCCAGTGAAAAAGAAAAAAAAAATCATCCCAGTTTAGTGGCTACAATTCAGTCTTAACATTTATTTCTAAGTGGCGCAAGAACTAACCGTGCTAGGAGGACCCAGGAAGGGGCAAAGGCAAGCATCGTTGAAAACTGTAAAGACCTGTGATCCAGCAGGTGAACACCTTAGGGAAAATGCGTACAAACGGACCAAGAGACATTATGAGAACGCCAGCAGAATGGGTCATGGGCATGTCCGTACAATGGGACACTGGAACACACAGCAATGTGACTACCCACAGCAGCTATGTGCGTCAGCCCAAGGCCTCTTAAAATAAGACTGAACAGAGAAGGCAGAAAAATGTATGTGGTGACTCCATCTGTACATGATTCAAATACAGACAAAACCGAACAACACTGTTTAAGGAGAAAATCCATATGCAGTCAGACTGTAAAGGAAGGAAATGGTTGACATGAAATTCCGGAGACTGGGCTGGGGACGTAGCTCGGTGGCAGAGCACTAGCCTAACCCCCTTGTGGCCCTGAGTTCCATCCCCAGCACTGCTAAGAAAAGGCAGGATCAGGACTGCAATGACCTCTGGGCAGGGGAGGGGCAAGGGAGAAGAGGGAGACTTCTGAGGAACAGAACTATAGTGTTAATACTACTTTTATTCTTTAATTAAATGTTACATACATACATATGTATGTATGTATGATCTTCGTTTTTTCATTTAAAGAGGGAAACAAATGAAGCACAACTTCAATCTTGAAGTGGTGTTTGATTCCAGGCCTGGTCAAGGGCAATGTCTGGGAGACTTCATTCATTCTGGCTGGAGAATATAAAAAGCATGACAAGGCTAGAGGTGCGGCTTTGTGGTAGAGCACTCGCTCAGGGGTAAAGCATTTGCGAGGCCCTGGGTCCCATCCCCAGCACTGCAATTAAGTAAAAATGGTAGGAAAACATCAGGAGACTAGTGGCAGCAGGAGGGCAATGGAGCCATCTAGACCTGAGCGTGTGAGCAACAGGAAGCCCCCTGGGAAGTTTCATGCAGAAACTGGGTGACATAATCAGGTTTTTCTCTAAAAAATATTACTTTGATGACCATGTAGTGAAACCAGGAGCCAGAGGGAAAGGCAAACAGGAGTAAAAGGGCTTGAGTAAACAAACTGAGTAAACAAAAGGCCAGGACCTAGAGGAGCTAAAGATAAGCCTCAGGAAATGAGAGTGCAGGGGACAAAGGACAAGTCCCTGAGTGCACTGGAAAAAGCCTCAAAGGGCTGAAATGCAAAAAACAAAGAAATAATACAGCCTGATTTCCCGACACCCAAAGTCTGACAGCTGCAACAACAGCAACTGCTTACCTGTGTTCCCTACACCTTTCTCGTCAGTCTGCCTAAATGTCCCTAGACCAGTGACAGTGAACCTTTTCAAGCCTCAATATAACAAACAGCTGGCTGCAGCATGCATGCCACAGGTTTGCCACCACTGCCTAGACTTCAAAGTCTACGGGGTCCTTCTTCTAACTAAAACTCCCAACAGGCCAGAGCTTTCCTTTTTGTTCTAATAAATCACACCCATGTGTCCCTGTTCCCCATGGCTGTGTTCTGTTGGCCAGTCCTCGCTGCCCTCAAAACAAGAACCCAGGAAAGACAGCAGGTTTGGGAAGGGCCGGCAGAAAGTTGGGAGCACTGCACACAGACTGAGTGTCTGAAAGGGAAGATGGAGAAGAGAATGTGACCGAATTTGTTCCATCCCTACAGTGCCAGCACCTGGCACACAATTCCTACAACTCCTAATTCTTCCCTTAAACTAACAAAAGATAGTGATTTCCAAGGAGAAGATGGATAGAGAGACATGTGCATTCACCAGCAAGGAGCAACGGGGCACAGGCACAGGTCTCCACACCCTTGAAGGCCTCACTTTCTTTATTTTGGTAAACAGGTTCCTTTGTGTACCCACTTTAAGCATACATTCCAATGAATTTTCATATATTTATAGAGTTGCACAGTCATAACTGCATTTCCATCACCCTGGAAGGAACCCTCCCATGAAGGCCTCTTTCTGCTCTGGCATGGGTGGGCACCAGCCGAGAGAGAGGGGTGGAGAGTGGATGAGGAGACGAAGGTTGCTGGGGACGGACAGGGCGCCAGGGACTGGAATGTTCTCCACAGACCATTTGACACTTGTATTAGGGGATAAGCCATTATTAAATCATGACCTAAACTGATTAAAAAAATGGGAGTCAAACCAGGAAGCAGAACTTTTATTTAAAGAAAGATTTGAATGCAATGGCCAAACATTTAAGTACTAAATTTTTAGAGGTAGTGTTCATTCACTACCTTGAGGTAAAGAAAATTCACTGACATCACCCAATTCTTGCCCCTCACTACACATACAATAATTTGAGAAAGTACTTCCTCATAAACTCGGGCTATCCAGTAAAGCAGCTGGTTCATGAACTCAAACTAACACACCTCAGAGAAGACAAGCTAATTTGTTAAATAAAATCCCCAAACAACTGGGACCTCCTTGAAGCCTTCAAGTTTCTCCCTGGAGTCATTTCATGTGAAAACAATTAGCAGGCCTAACTTGCCAATGTTGAAAGAATCTAATACTTAACAGTCTTCCCATTAAATTCAAATCTGTCCTTAAATAACAGTTGTACTCTCTGGTTTGACTCTCATTGCTTTAATCAGTTTAAATGGTTACTTCGTGGCACATCCTCGTATGCTTCCATCCAGAGTCCTTGGGGGTCTAGTCTGGCTGCCTGCTGTTGGGGTAACCTGCGCTCGCTCTGGGTTAGCTCCGCCCATGTTTCACCGCGTTTTGCGTCCACATTTGGGAGACTAGTGGGGACGCGCACTGAGGGTGTGTCTTGCCTCCTGTGAGGTGCCACAGGGACCTGTCTGGGACCCAGTTTTATGTTAATTTCTTATTCAGAGGCATCCTGGAATTTGTAGATAATATGGATTCGAGCCCCATGGTTAAGAATTCCCAGGGAGACAGCTCCATTCCCAACACATACGCCTACCACCCAGAGCCCAAGCTGCCTCTGGTGGTGGGCAAACTTGTCTTCTACTCTCCCCAGGACCCCAGCTTTATAGAGAGGTCAGTTCCAGTCTTCCACACTTAGCCAAAGGCCTCTTGGTGCCCCTACTGGCAAACGTCCTTACGGTGGCCTGCTTACTACAGGTTCCTCTTTGTTATCTTTAAGAATTTCCCTCTCTTGAGAGCTGAGCTGAGTGTTTATTATTTATCCAACACTGTTGATGCTGCATAGTGGAAATGCGGGGGGAGCTGCCATGCCATCTTAGACAGAGGTCCCCACACCCATTTCAGTGTGGAAGGAAACACTTGCAGGCCAGTCAGCTCTGGACCATCTTAAACAGCCATAAGCTCTGACCTTCCAAGTCCCATTCTGCATCAGTAACAATGAGCAAGGCGGTGGGCACAGGAGTGACTGAGCATCTGACTGCAGCAAGCCATGAGGCCAACTGTAGGTGGCGCTCTTGGACATGAGGCGTTATACAGTGTCTACACCACTCATCTCCATGAGCACCCAAGTCTGCTGACTATGTGTATATACGCATAGGGTTATATACACAGACCCACTTTGCCATGGCCAGCATCCTTGCCTCTGATTCTAAATGATTAAAATCAAAGCAAGATCCATACGAAAAAATTGTTGGTATACACAGAGGTCTATGTAGAGGAACCCAGAAATTGAGGGACTGTGTCGCAAAGATAATATACTTCCTAAGAAAGCAGAGTCCAGAGCCTGAAGAGCCACAACGGCTCCCACACAGGGGCCTCGGCCGTCTCCTCGTGTGTGCCAATATTTGAGTTCTCTAACGTGCTCTCATTGACTTTTATCCCGAGCTCAAATTTTTGTGTCATCTGATGCCAGCCCTAAAGAACTCAGTAACACAGGAAGGATCACTACCTGTGTGAATAAGATACCTATAGGCGATACAGGATTTAATTAATTAATTAATTTATTATTATTATTTTTTTGGTACCGGGGATCGAACTTGGGTCCTTGCGCTTGTGAGGCAGGCAGCGGAACCACTGAGCTACAATCCCCGGCCCTATTTATTTTTAAAAAAATAAGTTGATTTCAGTTATAAAGCAGGACCTAAAAATGTACTCACCTCCGGTTTTGTCTCTAGGATAGTCCTTGTCTTCCTCACAAGAGATGTGTCAAACGATTTGACAGTCACTAATTCCACCACTGCATTTCCACCATAAATATTGTACATGTCATCTGCAAACTGAAGTGACTTGTTAGTATGAGGAATTCCAAATACCTATTTTCATTTGGGTCTTCACTGCATAAATTGCATATATTTGTCCCTTAGTAGCCATGGGGATTGGTTCCAGAACCCCCAGAGATAACAAAATCTGTAGGTGCTCAAGTCCCTTCTATGAAATGGTGCAATATTGGTGTTGTATCTAGGCAGTCCTCCTATATACTTCAAATAATCTTTAGATTACTTATGGCACTTAATACAATGTAAACATTGTTATACTGTATTATTCAGGGGACAGTGACAGGAAAAAAGGCTATTCGTGTTTAGTAAAGATGTAGTTTTTTTCCCCAAATATTTTCATTCTTCAGTTGGTTGATTCCACAGATGTAGAACCCAGGATATGGGTATTTATTGTGTGCAATGTATTGTTTTAAAATATGTATGCCTGATGGAATGGCTCAGTCCAGCTAATTACCATATGCATTACCTCTCATGTCACTTTTTGTGGTGAGTCAAACACATCCTTATTTACATTATTTGGAAAGCTTCTGTGTAGCTATAACAACATGCACCTACCTGCTGGCTTGTGGTATACACTACGCCCTAAGATAAGCAAATCTTAAAGGTTTTGATTATGTTAAAATATTCCAAAAAGTGTTAAGTTTTAATATATTTTTCAAGTGTTCAAAATAAAATTATTTGAGAAAACAAATGACTTAAGAGACTGAACTTGTTGGTATATAAATTAGGGGAAGGGAAACAGGAAAGGGAAATGAAGACACCTTCCTAAGTGGCCTGTAGCTCTTCACATTTACAGAGATTTACATATGAAGCCTCCCTGAAGAGTTAGAGCGGAAAGACTCCAGAGCAGAAGAGAACTGGCCCTGACTATACATCCACTATGTGTCTGCTACTGTGTTGCTGGGTTACAACCTCTCCTTGTCTCACGGTGTTCAGTGAGTAAGTACAGTTTCAGTTGGGGAAGATGCAAAAGTTCTAGAGGTGGATGCTACTGGTAGCTAAACAACATGTAAATCTCCTTAATACCACTGAATTGTACAGATAAAATAGCTGAAATGACCAGGCATGGTCTCTCAAGCCTGTAGTCCCAGCAGGTGGACTGAAGGGTTAAGGCCAGCCTGGGCCACATGGTGAGACCTTGTCTCAATAAACTTAAAAAGAAATGGTGTTTCTGGTGTGAGAAACCGAAAGTGGAAATAAGGACTAAAATGTATACAGATATTGGGAAATGAGGAGGAAAATGTTCAAATGAGAAGGGGAACAGGGAAGGGGGCAAGGGGAAAGAAAGGAAAGAATAGAAAGAAAAAATGGAAACAAAGCTTTTGTAAATAAGGAGGGGAAGAGGGATCCAAGGAAGGGGAGGGAAATGGGAAAAAAGCAGCAAGATATACCATGTACAGGTACAAATTTCCTATGATGAATGTTAGCATTAGGTGTATCTAAAATGTAACAATCAATGTTTTGCTTAAAAAAAAGAAGTGGTTTTATGTTATATATGTATTTTATCAGAATTTTAAAATGTATTATCCTATAGTTATATAGTTATATAGATGACTGATAAAGTCATCTCCTGATGCTGGCCCTACTAGTACTATAAAGAGATATTCCAGTCTGTGACCGTGATCTGACTATCGTTGGCTATTATAATCAGAAGACCCTCAAAGAAATTAAGTAAGACTTCAACTGGGCTGGGGTGCAGCTCGATGGCAGTGTACTTGCCTAGCATACATGAGTTCCATCCCCGACACCACAAACCTCAAAAATCAATCAATTCAGTCAACAGTAATTCAAAAAACCAATTTTCCATTAAAAGGCTAAAAATAAGTGAAATAGTCACACTCCCACCTCCGTATCACATCTGCATTTACCTTTTGCAAAGCATCAACGAGGATCCTAGAAGCATCTCTGAATTGTTCGGAGTCTTCCCCATAACGTTTCCCAATTTCATCTAAACCTGCCAGCTCCAGAGAATATAAATCAGGAGAATGGTCCTTGGCCAGATGCTTGTGACGAGACAACTTAGGAAAACAAACAGAGGCAATGGATGAGGTAAGATATCCAGCCCAGCCAGTTGAAGTTTCATGCCTAAATAATCTAGGGAAGAAATGGCGAACCTTTCAGAGCTTCAATGATAACAAACATCCAGGCATGGCACACGTGCCACAGATTCACCACCACTTATTTTAGGTATCATGGAACCAGGCTAGTGTGCCACAGAATAACAGAGATATGGGTTTAATGGGAGTTTCTGATAAACCTCATTATGGGGCAGAGTTAACAGAACTCTTTAAATATTACATAAAAACTTCACAAAATTGCTTAGTTTTAAAAACTCAGTTATGGGGCAGGGCATGAAAAAGCAGATGGTTGGTCCAGTTTGGTCAGAATTCAGGAGCCACTAGTGTGTACCTCCCACGCGCCCTCCTCCCAGACCACTGCCTAAGGACCCTAGAACTAAACTTCAACATCCCTGAATCAATACCTGCTGTAAACATTTAGGAAATAACTTCAGAAACTAGAAAACAGGTAAGAGTTTCCATTTCAGCCAAAAGGATGATTTCTTTAAAAAAGCATTCACACACACACACACACACACACACCCCAAAAACACACTGCTCAGACAGATTTATTCCCTCCTTGACTTGGCCGCCAGTATTATTAGTTTAAACTGTTATGTCTATTTTCGACCCAAAGCTGTAGATGTAGGAATTAAGTCTTACTGTCTGACAAGAAATCAATGGCCAAGTTAGAACTATAGCCAGGGTGTTCTTACTCCCAGGCCTATGTTCTTGGAGGATATACTGTCTCACCTAAAAGTAGAAATGCAAAATAATTTGATGTCAATATGACACGAGTTCAAAATTCCCAGCAACACCTCTAATTTCTCATCGTCCATGGCATCATGAATCTAGGGCATATGTAAGTAAACTTCAGGCCGGGGATGTAGCTCAGTGGTGCTGCGCCTACCTCACAAACACAAGGTCCTGAGTTTGATCCCTGGTACTGAAAATAAAAACAAAAACAGAAACAAAAACCCAAAGAAACAAACTTCAATTGGCCCACTATCATTCAAGTGTTTTCTAGCAACTGAAAGGGAACTGAAAAATGTTAGCAGCCTACTTACCAAACTTGAAATGTCATGGAGCACTTGCAGTTCAGAAAGGAAGAGGAGGTCAACCTTCAGAGAGCCAAACGAGTGAGCATTGTTTTAAATATGTATCAAAATCTATATTTGCCATTTATCAAGTAAAGGACGGTATTACAAGTATTGATCACTTCCATTAAAAATGCATATATAGGGCGGGGGGTGCAGCTCAGGGGACTCTCCAACCCCTCCCCCCAAGAAAGAACATAAAACACTGTTTTCTAACAAAAAGGTGCTGTCCATCCCCTAGCGCAGTGACTACTTCTCGGTAACTGTACTTTTCTGACCAAGCCATGCCACGAAGCATCCAAACTGTGACTTTCCCTCAGGGGAAGGGGCATCCCAGCACAGGGCAATGCGACCCTGCCAGTGGGCCAGTTGCTCACTGCCCTTAAACACTCGCCATTTTGGGGAATGGAGAATGGTGGCCTCGGTCATCCAGTGAAGCGGCAGGCCCTGTGGTTCCCAGGGTGCACAAGCAGATGGTGAAGCCAAGACCTCGGAGGCAGAAGTGGCTCTTTCCACCAGTGTCCGGAATGAAAGCAAACTGTGGCCACAGGGTAGCAGCATCACAGCTGTGAATGATGGCTCCCATGTTACCAGGTGTGCATGGCTCCACCAGCCAAGGCCAGGCTGTGGTTTCTGCCCTATTCGGATTAGTAGAAAGCAACCCTGTGCTGGAATGTACTGAGGCTAAGTTTATTCATGAGGTTATTAAGAAAATTGTACCGATGGAAAGAATCACCTACTCCAGCAGTAAATCTGTGCAATTTTTTCTAAGATTTCAAAATTTCTAAAACTTCAAGTAGCATAAGGAAAGGGAAACTATTGATACTCATAGCCAGGAGTGGTGTCGCAAGTCTGTAATCCCAATACTTTGGGTAGCTGAGGCAGGAGGATTCCAAGTTTGAGCCTGCTTTGGACAACTTAGCAAGACCTTATCTCAAAAAATAAAAAGGCCTCTGCATGGTGGCACAAGACTGTAATCCCAGCACTCGAGAGGCTGAGGCAGGAGGATCACTGTGAGTTTGGGGCCAGCCTGAACTGCATAGTAAGACCTTGTTTCAAAAACAAACAAACAGGGCTGGGGATTTAGCTCAGTAGCACAGTGCCTGCCTGGCAAGCGAAAAGTCCTGAGTTGACCCCCAGTACCAAAAAATAAATAAATAAACAAATAAATTAAAATGGGCTGGGGATTTAGTTCACTGGTGCCACCACCTGCCTTGCAAGCACAAGGTCCTGAGTTCAATCCTCAGGACCAAAAAAATAAAATAAAATTAAATTAAAATTAAAAAAAGGGCTGGGATGTAGCTCAGTGTGAAGGCCCTGGATTCACTCCCCAGTACTGGAAAAAAAGAATGATATGCTTTCAACAACTGCACTACTCACTTCATTGTTCCTACTCAGAGAATTGAGGGGAAGTGAATTGAGAACGGAGTTTTCTTGAAACAGGCGATTATGCAGCTGCCGTAATGTGACTGAAAGATCTTCAAAAACTGAATTTGCCTTCCCCACCATATACACTCTCTGCAAGAAAAATCCAAAATTGTAAGTTCCTCATAGTCTAACCAATTCATTCGATACACAGAGGTCTATAGCATTTTTCATAAAATTAGTTTTAAATTTTCATTAAACTGTGAAAACTTAAAATTTTAAAGCATCCTAATAACTTTTTTATCACTTACTTCCTCACTGGGAGCCAACTGCAAAACTACAGGAGTTTCTTCAGAAAATAAGGAGTGAATGGAATTTGCAACGCTGTCGAGACTAAAAGGAACTGCCTGAAATTTAAGAGGAAGACCATAATTATTTCCTGAACCAAAGTGAGAAGAAAGAAGAGACAAAACAAAGGCACCAGCATTTTAAATGTTAATGTAGAAGACCTAAATCATTTCCAAACGCAGAACCCTTTTGAGAATCTGGAAGATGAAACAGCCTCCTAGTGGGCTGAGCCTGTATCTCCCAATGTGCCTAAAAGGGAAATAACTCCCACACATGAAAGATAGGACAAGATTTTGCATAAGCCATTTTCTGGTGGTCATTCATGTATTTTAAGCAGTAAGACATTTGGTTTCAATATTGATTAAACACACCACAAGGAACATGGATTCCACTATAAAGTACTGTACAGTATTTAAGAAAATCTTTAGAGGAGTTTGAGGTAGTGAAAGAGAAACAGACCTCAGTTTTCATTGCAAATTTTTAAAAATATCTAGTAAGATTTAGGGTTCATCTTCTGATAGACCAGACTCTTAGATGAGGTGTAAAGTATACTCCAAGAACTGCACATCTTAGGAACACATGATGATATTATTAGACTGAAATAGCATCAATTGTGGTTAAGATCTACTTTCTTACTTGCATTTTTCTTACAGTATAACATACAATATAGTGCATAAATCTTTGGGGAGCAGCTCAGCGAGTGTCTTACAAATGGGTGCACTTATGTAACCCACGCAGATAAAGACACAGATCACCAGTACGCAGAAACACCTCCCTCCGCCCTCAGGGGTAACCAAAATTCTGGCTGCTCCCTTCCACACATTTCTTTTATTCCACATTATTTTTAAAAAATGACTGTAATCTTCTCCTCAGAAGTTATTTTTGTTTCCCATGTTACTGTATTAAAGCAAGGTGTGCAGTATGTTGTTTTAATGGGGATTTTTAAAGTGATTTATTTTCCTAGTGATTTCTTCCCTTTACTACTTAAAGGTTGATGTTTATAGGTGGCAAATTAATACTGATGTGGTACAGGCAGAAATCAATGTGATTATATAAATCTCACTGATGTAATCCCGGCATCAACATTAAGCTTATTTATTTTATGATTCTGTGAAATGAAATCAATCTTTTCTTCGTCGAGGTACATATTAACTCTTCCCCAAATTCTCTTGGAATGAATAACCCTGGGGAAGAGTGCTCAGCCTTGCGGACGTACACTGGCACCAGCCTCCTCCCATGTCACGTCAGCCCCCTCCAGCTTTGGAAGGAATCCCCAGCAAGGCACACAAACCCCTGACTACATTTCACCTGGTGAAATGGCACTCAGGTCAGGAGAGCTGAAGATCAAAGGAAATCTACAGTGATTTCCACAGAGATCATGTAATAAACTATCGAAATACTTTTGGTGAAAATAATCCGCCTTTTGATCTTCACTGTTTCCCTCCTTCCATTTTACTTACATTTACTCTGGAATTCTCCCAATTTCTTCAGGTTATTAATATCCAATCATGGACAACCAAAACTGTTTTAACATCCATTTAAGGAAATAAATTTCCCTTTTCTTACCACTTCAGCTGCACCCCATTGTTTTTTTGGGGGGGCGGGGAGACAGGGTCTCACAATGTAGTCCAGGCTGGCCTCACATTTGCAGCAATTGCTCCTGCCTCAGCCTCTAGAGTGCTGGCATAATTTTTAAAATACAAGATACATTTATTGTTATTCAGTTCTAAATAATTTGGAGCCAGATATGGTGGCTCATGCCTGTAATCCCAGCACTCTAGAAAGCTGAGGCAGAAAGATCATGAGTTCAAACCCAGCCTGGGTAACCTACTGAGACTGTCTCAAAATAAATATATTAAAAAGGGGCTGGGGATGTTACAAAAGGAAATTTGCAAAATAATTTACTGTTTGACCCATTAATTATTTAGAAGTACATCTATTCTAGCTATCTTTCTTGTTGACTTTCTAAAATAAATTCCCAATATATATGGCATGCACTCACACAAACATACATATGGCTTAAGGAGAAAAACAGTTCTTTAAAACTTCCTGAAAAATGCTTGTCTTTCCCCTCACCTCCCAATCCTCTAAGGCATTCGCTTTGAAATACTTTGTTTCCCATTGTTGTAACCACCATCACTAAGAGGCTTCTAGGACTAATCTTGCTGTTTCAGGCTCAGGTACTGCTGTTGTCCTCCACCCTCCAGCAGGTACCTTAGAGCGCTCCCTGGTCAGTAGTGGTTCATGTTATGACTATCATTAACATTCACAGCCTAGACTTATACAACACAATCACCGCTTTTCCTTTCTTGATCTGCAATGGCAACGACGAGAAATCTGCTAGCGTTCTCTTCTCATTCCTTGGTAATGGCAATGTCTTTTCTCTGACAGCTTTTAAGATTTTCCATTTCCTTGATGATTCTTCAATTTCACTCTCTGTAGGTGTTGATTTGGCTTTAGCAGACTGGGTGTTCAATATGCTTTCAATCTCAGGTGTCAGATATTTTGTCTGTTTTTAGCATTTCCAAATCCTTATTTTTAATTGACAGTTGACAGTTGTATATATTTATGGGGTATCTAAAATATGTTTACATTACGGAATGATATCATACTCATTATTAACAAGCCTGTCCTCACCTCACATACTTACTTTTTGCAGTAAAAACATTTTAAATCTTTGTTTAGCAATTTAAAAATACAAAGTGCATTATTTAGTACAGTCATCATTTTGTGCATTACATCGCTACAGCATGATCCGGCAATCTCACTTCTGGGTATACCTCCAGAGAACTGAAGTCAGTGTGCCCAAGGGCATCCATCCCTGTTCACTGCAGCGCCACTCACAGTACCCGAGCTACTGAAACAGCTTCTGCTCACCCAGTGGCCCCTGTGTTTCCAGTCATGTCCGGCACCTGTGTGCACACCCCACTCTTGCTTTCCCTTGGAGTTAAGCTCACAAAAATGCTTTCATGGCATCTCACCCACCACTTCTATAAGCTTGCAGTGCTGGTTAGGCCTTTCCCATTCTGCCTGAAAGCCTGAGGAGGAATGAGCGAGCAAGCAGCCTCCGGCTTCAGAGGGAAAATGCTAACAGGAGGCAAACGAGACAGCACCCACGGAAATGTCAGCAGATGCATCCTCAGCTGCTTCTAGTGACTTTCTTTTTTGAACCACCAACTCGTCTGACTGGGGTAATTTCTCTATGCTTGTCTTAGAAGGTACTCTCATCCACAGAGATGGCTAAGTTGAATAAATTTACAACTAGTATGTCATTTTTAAAAAGGAAAGCGTGCTTCCAAAAGAAGACACTAGAAGTTTGTTTAGAATGCAATTCATAATGTCAGCTGAAAAGAGAAAATTGAAAGTGCATCCCTTTGGGTTGGGTGCGTAACTCAGCTGCCATGCATCAGGCCCTGGGTTCAATCCCCAACATTACAAAAAAAAAAAGTAGATCTTTATTTTTTAAAATAAATACTCACATTCTCTAAAGGATACGAGACGACACTGCCTGGAGGGAGAGCCAGCTTGTCAACTCCCTTCACCAGCACCATGACGGTGGCCCTGGGCCGATGGAATAAGTTACCCACTGCGAGTCCTGGCCAAGAAAGGTCCTAATGGTAAAAAGAAGAAAGAGAAGTCCTAATGTTGGAAAGCAAAGAATGGGGCTCAATTAGGAAACCAACTCCCCAGTAACACCTCAGAAGCAGACTCCAGGGGCTCCGGGATGACAATGGCCAGGAAAACTCACAGAAACCTTATACTTAGGGCAGTAGCTGCAATCTCCTTGATGACACTGACTTTTACCTTCTTCATTTTCTTAAAATTCTACGCATTTGAAACAAAACCTAATAGTCATCTCAAAAGTGTTATGGAAAAAAGAGAGGAAGTAAACAGAACACAGGCCCTTTTGAAATTCCAGGTTACAGAATATCCTCTTCTCCATACAGCCATGGGCATTTTCTCCCCTCCATCCTTTTTTGTCCTCATGCGTTGGCATCCCTTTCATCTTTCACACGATACAGAACACTTTCATTAAAACACTTCCTTTAGACTTAGCACCTGATAAATAAAATTCCTACCGAAAGTTAATGTGTATTACTTTACTTACAGTTATTTCTCAAGGTTATTTTTACAGCCATTTGTAGTCAAATTTAAGGCATATAGCACTTGCCTAGCTGTGTAAGACCCAGGATTCCTTCCCCTGCTCTGCAAAAAATGAAATCAAACAGAAAAAAAAAGAAGGTTCTAAAGAACTAGGTACAAATTCAACCCTAAATGTAAAGGACCAGTCGTGTTCACCCTGTTGCCCAAAGAGACACGGAAGAGCTCAGGGCTCCACCTGTAGGCCCAGAAGCCAAACAGTTCCCACGCAGAGCATAGGGGCACGGAGGGGCTAGAAAGGAAGTTATTTAGTGACCCGTGAGCTCCAAAGACCATATCAAAGGCACCACATTTATAAAGTGGAAGGAGATAAAGACAGCAAGACAAAGCAAGCTGCACCCCCTCCCTTCTAAGCCCTGAGCTTCAGATCTCCTGGACTGACTGGGTCTAGGCCCTTCTGCTACAATCACGCAAGCAACTGGTTATAACAGGTTACAGCTGTATTCTAAGAAACCGAGGTCAGAGGCTGCCAGTGACCCACCACACTGATCGCATTATTATTTTCCTAACCAAGGACAGGATGCAGACATTTTATCACTCGCAGCAAATCTATCACCTGCATGAAAAAAATGATATATCCAATTAATAGCAGTATGCCTATATATACACATATATATGTATATTTACTAAAATGTTTTAAAAACAAAATAAGAAAAATACTTTTGGCGGGGGGTACTGGGGATCAAACTTGGGCCCTTGTGCCTGTGAGGCAGGTGGCAGAACCACTGAGCTAAATCCCCAGCCCTAGGACAAATGCGTTCTTTTATATACAAAGAATTTGAATATAAATAATTACATAGTTAATTATAATGATGTAGTTTCAGAAGCTAAGCTTGAAGCAGTTATCTAAAATCTCCCCAACTACAAATTGGCTTTTTAACTTTTGTAATCTGTAGCAGATATACCCATGTTTGTTTGTTGCTTTCTTGGGCTCTTATCAGAAATTAACAAATACATTTTTAGCCAGGTGAAGTGTTGCATGCCTATAACCCCAATACTCAAAAGGCTGAGGCAGGAGGCTTGCTGTAAATTTGAGGCCAGCCTGGACTAAAAACTGAATTATTCAAGGCCAGCCTGAAGTACACAGCAAGACCTTCTCAAAAAACAAACAAACAAACAAAAAAACACCCCCCCAAAACACCAAACTAAACCAGAACAAAAAGCAGAAGTAGCTCCAAACATTTTATTAAAAAAATACACATACTTCTTTCACAGAGAAGCCCATGGACAGTGCAGCCACATCTGGGACTCGCTCTCCTGGTATAGGCCAATTTCCATTTCGGAAGACAACGGACCCTGGTGATCTTAATATACTAAACTCATTCCCTAAAACACCTAAGAAGAAAACAGATTATTAGTAAATGAATTATTAGCTTCTCAAGTCTTTTACATTTCCCCATTCTCCACTGTTTTAGCATACTAAATTATGACTGGACAAAATGCTGAATGCTAAACATCAATAAATGGGGGGTTGGGAATTGCGTATTAACTCAGAGTATGATGTCTGGGATTTAAAAGTGAAGAATAAAAATGAGCCAGGAGTGGTGGCACATGCCTGTAATCCTAGCACTCTGGAGGCTAAGGCAGGATAACTGCCATGAGTTCCAAGCCAGCATGGGCTACATAGTGAGACACTGTCTCAAAAAAACCAAAACAAAATACATCAAGACACACACACACACACACACACACACACACACACACACACGATCACTGAGCTACACTCCCAGCCTTACAATAAATTATTTTCAAAGTATCACTCTTAGAATTTAAGTCTGTATATTCTGCTGGAACAAAGATGCAACTATGAAACAGTATTTTGTTAATGATCTAGATGCCTTAACAGGAACATGTAACAATTTGGCAAGAATCAGAAACCAGGGGCATTTCTGGGCTTTCTTCGCCCACTGGTATTATTAACCCAGTGATGTCTGGCTTACCCAGGGACGAGTAGATGCTGGAAACTCTGGGTTCCTATGAAAAGACTAGCTCCAAGTCCAAAACAAAGCTTGCCCATACCTGGTATGGGAAAATGAGACTGTGGTAAAGTATCAGTGTCATTCCCGTGACCTAAGAAAGTACCGTACAGGCCACCGGAATAAAGTTGGAAGCAACAGTAAATGTTTTGGTGTTGCAGTATTGACAGTAAATAAAAGGCCTTAGGATGGTGCTGATACAACGTGACAAGTTATGAGTTTCAATTCAGCACAGCCACCAGAGCAAGAATTTCCAAAGAGATTTAGTAGAGGCAGACAATAAAATTATGCTGGAATGGGTGTGTGTAACTGACAGGGGGCTTGGTTCACTAAGGCACTGGTATCACAAACTCAAAGGAAAACACACACTTTTTAAGGAACTCCACTTTGAGCTGAGGATGCTTTTGTTTCAGATGTGGCCCTACTGCTCACCTGTCCAGCAAAGCTACAATGTGTAACTCTGCCACACCTGTGCAGTTGGTCAATGCCCATGCACCCATGTGGCTCCTTCCAGAGCCTGACGCTTTAGGGGGACCTTTGTCATGGGCGCCTGTACGGAGGAATGTCACTTTGTACACACTTCTGCTCATTGTACTGCAGGCGTCCCCTCTCTGGGACAGCTGGTAGAAAGCTGCCTGTCCTCTATTTGAATGCTACCAGGGATGAGGGACACCACCTCACTTTATAAACACTGTTGGAAGTCAGGTCCACTGTCCCAACAAACTACTTCTCTGAGAAGTTTTTCTTTGTACTGAACTGAAATGGGCTTCCTAACTTGCATCTTTCTATGCTTGCACACCTCCACTCAGTCCCACCAAAGAACCTTGCCCTGGCTTCACAGACACGGCTTCCTCCCCTCATGCCATCAGGAACATATCGCACAAGCCCCATCACACAAGCCCTGACCTGCATCTCCCCACTCCCACAAAGACAGGGATGCCTCCCTCCAGCCTATAGTAATCCTGTGTTCAGCCTTTTAGGAACCTGCATTCACTTGGGAGGCTGAGGCAGGAGCGCTGCATAGTGAGTTCAAGGTCAGCCTGAACTACATAGTGAGTCTTTGTCTCAAAAAGCCATAAATAAATAAATAAAGAGCACAAAAAGAAAAGAAAATACTCCTGTGGCCCTACCAGTCTCCACAAGCTACCAGTCCTGTGTACCTTTAGAGGAAGAATCCTGCTGCAAATATCAAAATCACACTGATGGCTCCCGGATTTTTATTTCCAGCCTTAGATGTCCCCTGAGCCTTAGACCTATATACTCAATGATTTGCCACCATTTTCTCCTAAGTCCCAGCAGCCCTTCAAACTCGACAGCTTTGAAACTGGAGTCACCATCTTTCCATACACTTTTGCTGACTTCTCTGTCTCCGTGGATGATGCCACCTTCTCTCTCCAGCTGCTCCACAGTCTTTAAATCTTTCCACAGCACTACAGGTCATGAACCAACTGAATTCTGTTCTTATCTCCCGGGCCTCTTTCCCCCAGGTCCCTCACTAGGTTTGCTAGGGCTGGCAGCTTTTGGGCGGTCACACCACTCTCTGATCCCAATTTCACCTCACCAAAATACAGATCCGCTTGGTCACCCTTGTGTTTCCCTTCACTCACCACCCAGAGCCTTCCAGGCAAATCAAATCCTAAAACCTCAGGCATTCTATTTCTGGGATCTCTCCAACTTAATCCCTATCTATTCTGGCCCCAACAAATGAGTTGTTCCTTTGCACTCTTGTCCCCGTGCACTCCCCCGTGCTGTTCAGTCTAAAATAAAATGCCTTTTCTTCCCACACCAACCTTTCACATATTTGCCCCGTGAGACAACTCCCAGTGGGAAATTTCCCTCAGCCCAAATGTACTCTTTGAGAATGCCACCAGAATGTATTATGATCTTCTATGAATGGCGAATGGAATCAATCAATTAAAAAACTGGTCCTACATTTGTCCTCCTGCGCCTCAGGGAGCTCTTCACATTCCATGTGTTCACGCTTGGCCTTTCCTCTCCAAGCTAATACTTGGTCCCCGCCCCCCGCAATACTCCTAAGATATAGTATACATAACTCTGGTTCTCTACTCCTCTCTCTAGTTCAGTAACACTGCTTTAAATAGAGAAGTCAGAGGTCTTAAAGATGGTTTCCATTAAATCACACTTAGTCATTGTGGAAAACAAGCATTTAACCTCATCTGACAAGACTCAACAATGCAGAAGCTCAGGTTTCTGGTCCGTACGAAGCAGATCATTCTAGTAAGGAAAGCATGTTCACATTCTGTACAGAGAATGATTTTATCTCAACCCCAAACCTAAACTTCACTGAATCAAAATAATGTCATTAAAATATCATTAAAGCATGGAATGTCAACAGATGTTCTGTTAAAGCACATCATTAAAGGGAAGTTTTAAAATTTTAAAAACCGAATTAAAATAAAAAATTCCAAGGTATCTTGCTAGATCAGAATGGACCATTCCATAGCCAGCAACAGGAAGGAAAGAAAGAACCCTAAAACTCCAGTCACACGGAAATAAATAGACATCAATCGTCACGAATACAAAACACAGTGGGCACTTCCAGGGATGGAGAACTACAGATTTCAGGACCCACCCCGGTCTACACCTAGAGGAAAATTAATTCCCCTCCCTCAGCACAGAAAAGGCCTCCCACTGGTTTTAAACTGACAGCTGGGGACAGGAGCACCCATTCCTCCAAGTTGTTCTCAACCTGGCCTCGTGTTCCCTACAGTCTGCACCCCCAGCCGCAGCTCCCATCATTCCCACACCCTCACCCACCGTAAGCAGCGACCACGTTTGCGAGGCGAAGTACGAGAAAGGCTCACCCTCGATTTCAGTCCAGCTTTACTACTTATTACCTGTGTGCTGCGGGGCAACGGATTTAGGCTTGATCACTATTTAAAAGAAAAAACCCAAGCAAACTAAGACGAGGCCCTCTTTTAAGGAGAGAAGTGCAGTCACGTGACACAACGAGAGGCCACAAGGGAGCCGACTTCCACTCCTCCGCTCAGTGCCAGGGAACCCGGTTCCACTCCGAAAGCTACCATTTATTCGACATGTGACTCACATCCTAGTTTCTAAATCTTTAAAACAGGGCACTGCGACCAACTACTGAGAGGTACTTGGTATTCGCTCGCCTGAAGAAACAGGCGCATAAAACGACTCCATCTCAACTTTTGCGCCCTGAGACGTACGCGGAGGTCTCACCGGCTTCTTGACGACAATTACCAGAAACGAAGACACACACGAATGCAAACGCAGGCCAGCAAGCACAGGCAGCGGCCGCGGTCCCACAGTCGATGGAGG